AATCATTATAGAGAGAGACGTTGCAGCTATTATCCAAGGGTTACAAAATTCAATGGTTGACCTGAGAAGTCAAAGCAAAGCTAGAGTGGAATTTGATTTGACCTTCTTGACTGACGTCGAATAGGTCCTCTTCCTCTATATTCCTAGGGAAAGCAACAAGGTCGTTGACCTTTGTGCTTGCTCTTTTTGATAACTTTGTATGGAAAAGTGTACATGATAGGAACCTGCCTTCAACCCTTTTGTCTATGTTGAAGGAGGATAGTGATAGATATGCTCGTACATAGTTCCGTCTTTTGTACTTTTACCTTTATTATGATTAATGCAAAATACACTCTTCGGTAAAGAGTTGAAAGAACAAATCGATTAAATACCACATGTTAATATTGTTGAAGGTTGTGATTTTAATGTGGTGCTAGTTGATGGTATTTTAGGAGCTGGAACATCCAAAAATATCAAACAACAAAATCAATTACTTCTAGTCAAATTCAACATTAATATTTATGCTTGAAGCACCAAGAGAATGTTAGATATACATTTTGGTCCCAAATCTTAATGATGTGTCGAATCAGAGAAAATGTAAATTCTGCAAAGAGATGGAAACTGCTAAGAAGGATATGAGAAGAAGGGCAATTCAAATATTTTGCCGATGGATTTATGATATTGGAATTCCATTGAATGCTGCTAAGTGTGCTAGGTTCCTTGTTGTTGTTTAGACATGTGGATAATTTGGTCATGAGATGTGACCTCATAGCTATGATGAGGTATGAGTTCCTTGCTGGATGTTAATGGTGCAAAATGATGCGCGACATGACTCACAACGCAACGCGACGCACAAACAACGCTATTTTCTAGGTGTGGCATTGAGCACCAAAATAGCGCTCGCTATTTACGCTATGCATGAGCAATGTTATGCATGAGCAATGTGGCATAGTGTAAGGCACAAATAGCGTGCACAGTTTGGTTAATTTGTTATAAATTTTAAATTTTAAATTATAATTAATTTCTTTAAGGTTTATATATTAATATCACAATTAATTATTAATTATTTAAATATAAAATTAAAGTATTTAACTTTTTGTAGGATTTAAACCTGTCTTTTTTGCTATTTGGCATGATATAGGCTAAATTACGCTTAAATCTTGCTCAAATTTATTGATGCAGATTTCTGTAGAATTTGAAATTGTCACTTTTATGCTTAAATTTTTCTCAAATCAATCTTTTATTTGCTATTTAATAGTATTATATATAATTATTTTATATTATGTGCCATTTTTAAAATGGCGCGCGTTGTGCCGTGTGTCATACGCGATGGCTCTACGGGGATCTTTGCGCCATGGTGTGCTATTCACCATTGACAAGTATGAGTTGGCCATACACAAGATCTATTGCAAAGCCATAAAGAAGATTGTATATTGTATGGCTATTCTCGTATGTTAGATGGGTGGACATCCTATAATGGGAAAAGTTTAGTTAATGTTTTGATGAATAGTTCATGAGGAACCGCGTTAATGCTAGTATTTTCTCAAAGAATGCAATGAATATGATCAAATTGTTGAGTAAGTTTATTGAAGAAATTGAGCCATATATTGTAATTCAAGCAATTACTGATAATGCTTCTGAGAACATCCTCATAGTTGTGATACTCAATATCAAATTCCATTTCCTTCTACTTGTATGCTATTTTAAATAGGATATTAATTTATTCTCTCATTATTTTTAATATCATTGCATGAAAGTTATTGATGGAGAAATATTGACGCACATTTTGAACTTTCTATGCTGCTCACTATTTAGATTTAATGATGGAAGATATTTTTAAAATTCAAAGGTTAAGGCGATGCTTCAAGAAAGTAGTGGATGTGCACAATTTCATATTTTCAAGAGCTTGTTTGCTTGGCTTAATGAGAAAATGTAGGAATCAATGATTACTTGTCAAGCCTGTTAAGACTCGTTTCACTACTGCCTTTTTTAATTTACAATGTTTTCATCAATAATTGAATTTGAAGAAAGTGTTTACATGGATTGAATTTATTTTGGATCCTTATGCAAAATAAGTAAAGACAAAGTAATCTTAACAAACCATCTTATAGCAATAATTTTGGAGTACTTCTTTATGCCTTAAAAGTAGGTGGCTCTCTATTGAAAGTCTTTTGATTAGTTGATGGAGAGAGAAAGCTCCCATTGGGTTATTTATATGAAGTAATGGATAGGGCAAAAAAAGCAATTGTTGCTAGCTTCAACAACAATAATAAATACATACAAAATTTTCATGTAGTCACACTTTTTTTTTAAAACCTAAGCATATTTTTATTAACCTTGAGATTGCTAAGGACAATGAGATAGTTGATGGACTATATTCATGCATTGAAAGTTTGGTTAAGAATGTAGATGAAGAAGACAAAGTTAGCAATGCATTAATTGTATGTATTAGAGGTGAAAGTCTTTTTTTGTTTTCCTTCAAATGTAAGACAAAGGGCCACTTTGTTACCATGTATCATTATTTGAGTAAAATTATAATTAACATTGAGTAAAATTTTGATATTTGAATATAATAAAAGAGATTAAGTATTTCATTACATTTAGCTTATTGGTGTTTGATGTACGGTCAAGGAGCTTCACACTTATAAAATTTTGCAATCAAAGTTCTTAGCCTAACCTGTAAGTCATCTGAATTTGAATGTAATTAGAGTATATTTGAATGTGTAAGTATAAAAACAGAGTATATGTTGATTTTTTCATGAATGTTTATAAGATAGTAATAGAAATTATATTTTGATTGCAACTTCATAGCAAAAGAACCCACATAACAGATCATGGTTGTTTCAAATATTTAGTTTTTGTAAAATATAATAGAGCATTGATTCTTAGATACAATCATCTTGATGTGATCAACGCCCTATTTCTTTGACTGACATAGATGATCTAAATGTGTGGCTAACCAAAAAAATAGAATGATGAGTCTGATGAAGAAAGAAATCAACCGATTGTTGGCGAAGAAGATTTGTCATCGAATATTATTGCAAAAGCCACATGTGCTTACAACTAAAGCTACAATATTTGAGAGCTATTTAAAAGAAAAAAATAAGGAATTTTCATCTAGGCTTTATATTGTTGCAATTGAAAATGAAGATGATGGGGATGATGAAGAGAATTATTAAATAGGAGATAATATTGATGAAAGGTATAAGGCACTTTTGACTTTTGATGATGATGACTTCTTCTAAGATGACTAGATTAATTTTTTGAAAGCCCATCAGATTTGAAAAAATGATCTTAATATTTTGAATTTTTAGGGAATGAGCTGTCGATTAATTGAAATTGAGTTTCCTTTAGTTGTTTTTATTATCATGTATCTTTCAATTTAATGATATTAATATTAATACATATTTTATTTATAATTATTTTATATCGGGCACCATTTTTAAAATGGTGCGCGCCCTCGCCATGCTCTATGAGCTATGACTCCACGAGGAGTTTTGTGCCATGGTACCATTCACCATTGATAATCATGCACTTGATTTTATTTGAATTTGCATATTGCTTTCAGTTTTATGTTTCATGGGCTCATGATGTAAAAAGGCCTTGAGGTAAGGCAATTTTTTAATTGTTTGACTAATTCCTTATGCAGCCATCCTAGCTCATGAAAACTCAGATTTGGACCATCAAATGAAATCTTTCCCCTATGGGCTCTCTAGCGACATTGGGATTCTGCCCCTCATTACGCTAGTGATTCAAAACCAGATGCTTTGAGTATTCAACATAAAATAGTCAGCGCTATCTTTGTATTCCTCCTCAATCCATTCCTGTGCCCACAGCTCGTATCTATTTGTTACTATTCAACCTAGAAACACATTTCTGTTACCCATCCTAGAACATTGTTGAATTTTGATCTACCTGCCTTTGATAACATGTAGCTGGCCATTTTGTTGGCTCATTACTGTTTTTGAAATGCAATGTTGCGTGGGGCATCGGAGACTTTCTATCATCTGTTCTTTTCTTTCATTGTCTCAGATTACCTCTTAGTTTTCCTTTCTTCAATTTTAATTTGACTAGAAAAGGTTTATACAGAGTTCATGTTTTCTTGTTTTTACCTATAAATCGTTGATTTCAAAGATATTGAGCATACAAGCCCACTTGGGCATTAGATTATAATTCTTCAGGTGACTAACTGTGTAATGTGAAGTTTTATGGTTGCATTGATGCTTATTGATTCCTTGTCCAGGGTGCTTTGAATTAATAATATATTCGTGCTGACTTGCTCCATAGAAGCCATCCCAGGTCGTGTTTTGTAAGGCTTTTCTGTTAGCGTGTTTGCTATTAGACAATGGTTATGCTGCCTTTTTAACTTTTTTTTCCTTCTTCTGGAATCTTATCTAATACTTTTGTTACTCCTTTTATTAGTTGAGTATGACTTAATTGTATAATTGAGCGGTTTGCAATTAAACTGGTAGATTAGATCATCTTAGGCATGCTAAATATTTTTGAGTTATATTATTTAAACATTTGAAACTTTTAATCGTATTGTGTACATGCTGAAGGTTTTAAAAACTACTACAACAACAATAACATCATGCCTTTATTTCTCTACGTGGGTTCGGCTACATGAATCCTTTTTCTCCATTATGTCCTGTTAAGAGTTAAATTTTCATTTAAATCTAATTAAGAAATGTCATTTCTAATATTTCTAATGCAATAAATTCAAAGGTTCTTTACATCTTCATGGAATTTTGACATGACCACTTTAGGTACATTTTCATGTGCATGATTTTTAGATATGTTGGACAACTATAATGAGTAGTGTCTTCTTTAATTCTCTCAAACATATTTAAAAAGTCAAGTATGACTTGCTATTTTTTTTCCTCAACTTTTCTAGAAATTCCTTGAATGCTTATTTTTGTTGGTTGAGATGTAGCTTTCTCTATTCCTATTTTTGATATCTAATTATAAGTTCATGTGAAAATTCATTAGTTACGTGGATATTTCCTTCTGTTCACTTGCAGAAAATTTGAAGAATGAAAAGCCTACTTCAGGAAAGAGTCAGGCAGAATCTACACCTGCAAACGAGAGGTTGCTCTTGAAAAATTACATTGTTTCATTTGCAGTACACATCTAGTATTTAAAATCTGTTAGCTGCTACTCCATGCTATTAAAGTTTATATTTTTGTTGCACATTACTCTTAACCGCTATTGTCAAAACCCAAGTTAATTTCAATATTCATGGGCTTTATTGATTGAACGAACCAAACACAAAGTGCTTTATTGATTGAACGAACCAAACACAAAGTAAAGTGCTCTGTGATAAGCCTTTTAAGAACTGTAACAATGGAATAGAGCACTAAAATTCTATATAATTTCCTCGTATATGAAAAGTTATGAGCTTAGTTTTGTGAGTCATGGAACACTATAAGATTAATTCATAGAACCAAAGATTTAGGTGGTAAAAAGGTTAGTGATAAAGAAAGATGGGAAACTATATTTTTGTGGTGGAATAATAATTAGATATATAATTGGAGATAAACCAATCGTTATAAAAGAATTGGGCTGGTGACTTACCAAATCAATACCAAGAACAAATCACCAATTCCAAAAGAAGATAAAACTTCTCAAATTTGATATATTATAACATAAGATTACGTTGTTCATTTCTAATATCAAAAAGCCATCAAGGGTTAACAATTATGGTTGCCTACCCCTCATGAATCTAAGGTGGGTGTATATTCTTCTTGGACTTCTTGCCTTGTCCAATATCTTTTTGAATCCATGTGAGATGTATCTGCTTCTTGCCTTCACCGAAATCTTCCAATGCATATATATGAAGTGTCACATGATTTAATTCCGTTTGTGCATCATGAATTTTACTCTTAATATTCTTTTTCTTCATTCATACATGATTTGAATTTGAGTTTGCTTTTCTCCCTGTTTTTTCCATGACTGTCCAAGGGATGATTAATCTAAAGTGACTTGTTGACTAAAATTAGGCTTATATGATCATTTCGTAGCAACAACAATAACAACAACATCAAGCCTTTATCCCAGTATGTAGGATCGGCTACAAGAATCCTTTTTCTCCATTGTGTCATGTTAAGAGTTAAATTATCATTTAAATTTAATAAAAAAAAAGTCTTTTCTAATATTTTTTAACTAAGTCTTTTTAGGTCTACCTCTACCTTATATGATCATTTTGCATGAATAATAAAATATACTATTACTGTATTACCTTTGCATGAATTGTATTACACCACCACCACACTTTCTCCTCATAATATTAAAATATAGTAGTGAGATTTACATACGTGCTTTTGAATTCTTAGGCATTTCTATGCCTAACACATACATTTTTATATTTATATAACACTTGATATCTGAATCACATCTATCACTAACATTAACTTATTTAAAGTGAAATACACCTTGTGTGATAGAAGCACTAGGATATTATAGAAGTAAATATAAATATTTAGATATTAGATATTTAAATACATAAGAATTGTGTGGTATTTATGTAAATCTTCTTGCAGAATATTGTAATCTAATAATATAATATGATAACATGATAATATAATATAATATTATAATAGATATTATTATCCAATAAACTTTTGGAGGACGCCATCTATTTAGCCATATTATTGCCTTCCATTGTTCCTTGTCTTTCGTTAATGCCATATTTTTGTAGTACATGAGTTAGGCTTGAATGTTTTTGCCTACAATTTAGTATTGACTGATGGGTTGATTCAGTGTGATCTCCCGGCTATATGAATGTGGCCAATTTATACCAAGAGTATCACATTTATTCAATTTAATCACTCGACCATACAAAATTGATTCAAAATGGTCTCTTAGGGGGACTAAATGAGGATCAATTTTGCATCATAATTTTTACCGAAGGGATTATTTTTGATCAATTTTGTATAGTCGAATAACTAAATAGGAGAATTTTTATACTTTTAGACTAAATTGGCCAAATGGAAAAGTTGGAAAAGTTGGGGGATTATTTTGAGATAAATCTATTGACTGACCATAACTGTTTCTAGATATCATGAACAGGATCCCACTTATAAGTTGATTTATTAATGATATATGCTTCAAACTGTTAAGCGTCAGTTGTTACTTCAGTCTGCAAGCTGAACAATGCTGACCATTGATAGCTACGTCCACTTTTTGAAGATGGTGAGTTTTGGACTTTCACAAATGTTATTATGCATGCATGTGGTGTGCAGTGGTAGTGCTATATGAACGGGAGGTCTGAGGAATTGAGGGGTTTTATGGGGCTTTAAGCTGCAACTAAAGATGTTTCTTCAAATTTCAGTTGTATATTGTATTTATATTCTTGATGATGGAACTTGTAGTTTATATTAATAGTTATTTGAGTAAGGCTTGGATATCCAGGTTGCAGAACCAAAGAAATATCTAAAATACTTCATTAGAGTTGGATATTCATTGCCACCAATCTGAACCACTTGTGTCAATGCGCGTGGAAGGTTAAAATGGTGTTTTCTTTTTTTTTTTTGCTTTACAAATAAGTGAAGAACCTAGTTTGGAGGAAGAACCAGGGATTTAATAAAAAAGAGGAGATAGTGAGGGAGGCAAGCACTATATTGAGAGAGTGCTAGAAACCTCAGAGTTTAGGGAGAAAATGATGTGTTAGGCCATCTTGATAAAGAGGTTGACTTGTATGAGTTAAGGATCTACCAAGGGTATAGTTCTAAGGAAACCATTTCTTAATTCAATAATCAGCTATTATTTCAACTATTACTCAAGTCCTACTAAATCTAAAAGTAGCAGTAAAATCATGGGCATTCTAACTTAATATCAATGAAAAAATGAAAACCATGTTTAAAATAAACAAATGGCATCATACTCATGAGAATGTAAGAAATGACAAATAAGAGTTTTTGGCATAAAATGACACATAACATAAATACTTAATTCTATATCCATGACAGAAAGCATAAAATAATTGAATAAATATTGCTAAGTTGATAAATTAGATTGATATTTGAAAATTGATGCTTTACATTACATCATTTCTCTTGGGTGACAACAAACTACTTCTGCAAGAACCATGGAATTGTTTATGTATATCTTTGAGCTAGTTAAGTTTAACCTTTACGAAATTCATACAAAAGAAAAAGAGAATAATGCAAATGAATCTCAAAAAAGGTAGACAAATTCATCCCAAAAAAAGTCATATGAAGTGAGCACCTTCTAGTGAAGAGAGACAAAGGGGTAGAAAGCGGAAAACAATATTTATGAACATCAATACTGGGACCCCATCATTGGCTCTCGAAATATAGCTTTGGAAGCTGGTATACTTGCCACAAAATGTTTGAGAATTGTCACTTTTATTTTGCATCACCTAACACAATCCAAGTGTTATATGTGGAATCTGATTATGTTGATCAATTTGGTTGTTTTGTAACTTTTGTTGTGTCGGACCTCAAAGCTTGACATGTTTGCTGGGGGGTGCGGGTGGTTTACCCCTCGCTTGGGTTCGGGGTGCTTTGCACATGAATTTTTTCCCCGTACAATGCCCCGGCGCTGCGTACCCGAGCGCCGTAGTGTTGAACGACAGAGAGCAGAGCGCTGCAATGATATAAATACGGCGTTGCAACGGTTCAAGAGAGAAGCTTGAGCGTCGCAACACCCCAAACTGCCGCAACAGCGTTGCTAGGCGGACTGGACGGTTTTCTTTCTCATTTTTCTGAAGAGTTGCGTCCCTTGGGGTTATTTACTTGGCTTTCTTTTGTATTTTGAGAGAGTAGATATTTAGAACGGTGCATGTGAGAAGAGAAGGAGAGAGTGAGAGAGAAGAGTGATATGTACTTATTTCTCCCAATTTTCATAGTGGATTTCTTGGTGTGCTATGGCTCCGTGGTTTTTTTTTCTATTTGGGTTTTTCCACATTAAATTTTGGTGTCTTTTACTTTTCCTCTGCTTTTACTTTCTTGCTTATTTCATCATTGTGGTGTTTACTCATCCTCTCATCCCCAACACCAACCTGGTCAATTTGATTGACTCAACTTGACTGACCTAACCCAATTTATCCACAGCATGACTGAGTCATTTAACTTAAGTTAACCTTTCCAACCCACGGGCCAAACCTTTCCCAATGATTAATTGATGACCAGCTGGCGTTTCTTTGGCATTTCTACCTAATATGGACCGGATCGTCCTGCTTGCCCTGCAAGAAAAAATTGGGTCAATTCTTTTATATTTTGACATAAATTTGTACCAGAATGATAGCAGTTAAAAGAACTATCCAATCCCACGAAAAAGTTACAGTAGCGATCATTTGATTGGGCGCTTTAGTGTTTTTTAGTTGTCTTGCTATGTATTTTGGTTTAAACTAAGGCTTTGTTTGGGGCATCTTTCTTACTGTTTTTTAAAATTATTTTTTAGTTTAAAAATTTTTTGTATTAAAAAGTTACTTTAAAAAGCATAAAAAAGTTGTCCCAAACGAGGCCTAAAACTCCATAACTAATTGAGTTTTTATGATGCTCAAGTCTTCAAACAAATAAAGGTTGTACTTCTTTAATATCATTTACAGTTTTTAAAATGATCCTGCGAAGATATTTTCATTTTACAGAGCTGAAGCATTGCACAGAGATTGCGCTTCACTATAATTAACTTTGGCAGCATACACTTCTATTCAGTTTAGAACACTTTCAACAGTGTTTTGCTTAACTGGGATTTTGGATGGAATGCACGTAATACTTGATGTCCATCTATTTCATTATTTATTCGTGTGCCTAAGAATCAATAATATCATGCCTAGCCATACACTCCTTCCCCCATAGTACTAGCTGAAACATGTTGGTCGTGGGCATTTGCTATTTTTTTTATATTAAGTTCCTCTCAGTATTTATCATTTCTAGAGGGTTTTTTTTTTCATAAAAAATCATGGACTTTCTTCATGGCTGGCAGAGCTGATAATGATGGATCAAAAGAAGGAAACTCTACCGTTAGCATACAATCAACTTCTACTGCAGATGAAGCTGCTACTTCTGTTGATGATTCCAAACCTATTACGACAGCATTATCAAGTGCCGGACACATATTAGAAGAAATTCAAGCTGAAGTGGTGTTGCAACCTCTGAGACTTGCGTTTGAAACAAAGAACATAAAGCTGTTGGAGCCTGCATTAGATTGTTTGCATGTAAGATGCTCTTCTTTATGTGGCAGTGCAAGTTTAACTCTTCTTTTTGTTGTTTTAAACTAAATTTTCCTTAGTTTGCTTGTTAAGATGTTGAAATCAATATTATGCAATCACTTTGTTATAGGCAGGATCTGTAAGATCATGTTGGTTGTTGTTATTCCATGTTTGCACTCTTTACATTATTTACATCCAATAAAAAAAAAAATTCTATGTTTGCAATCTTTACATTATTTGTCAACTTGCTAGCCTTTAGTGTGAGATCGTTCCATCTGATTGTCTTCTGCTGGTTGGTTCCATTTTTGAACAAAAATGCAACTGAACCATACACACGCAATCTGCAGAAAAAAAAAAATCCTTCTTTTCTTTGCATCCTTTTGAATAACTATGCTGAATTAAATCCCACCGTGCAGAATATAGATTGTTTAGGACTGTCTATCATATTCATCTTTCTAGATTCATCCAATTTTCTACTTTACCTTCACCTGACCTGTTGAAATGTATATTTTAGATTTGAAACTCGCATCTTTTTGCGTGGAAACTTTGTTCTAATAAGTTAGTGCAGATATTAAAATATGTTGGATGTGTCAAGTTTATTGAAGAAATTAATATAAGCTGAACTTGTGAGGAGGATTTCATTGCATTTTGTAGTCTGGCACTATGGAAACTTTTATTTTATTTCCTTTTTACATCAAAACATAGCAGTGGACGCTTTCTCTTGGTTCATGATGCAGAGTAGTGGTATGATTTAGGGTGCATTTGGGACGGCGGTACTGCTGCTTTACTTTATAAAAAGTCATTAAATCATTGTTTGGGACATTGCGGCAGAACCACGACAGAAAAAATTCTGCGGTCCGCTGTTGCTTCCCGTGACCATTCCCTGTATCCCGCGGTCCGCTGCGGTCGGCTGCTTTCAGCAGAAAAATGACGAAAATCCCGCTGCAAATATTCGCTACCGTCGTTGCCGCGCTGCTCTTCCCTCTTCCTTCCTATGAGGCTACCCTTACTAATGCCACATTAAACCCCTCCCCCATTTGAAATTTAAAACATTAATTTCAAATAAATCTACCTCCCAAATTTTCAATACTGAAATTAATTTCAGAATTTGAATTAAAACTCCTCCCCCTCCTCTCAAACCGCCGCCTCCCCTCCTCTCTTTTCAAAACCGCCGGCCTCCCCCTCTTTGTTCCCCTCATAACTCCCCATCCAAGGCATTAATCAGGGCGGAACCAGCTTCATTTTGAGGGGGGGTGCAAATATATCATAAAAATTTAATAAATATTTAAAAATAAAATATTATATATCTATAATATTATGAAAAGTTTTTTAAGGGGGGCCAAAAGTAATTTTTTAGGACAAGTTAGGCCAAAAGAATTTTTTAGGGGGGGCAAAAATAAATTTTTAGGAGGGGCAAAAAAATTTTTTTACTCTCCTTTATCTGGTTCCGCCAGTGGCATAATGCCTTGATTTTGAGATTCAAATTTCAAATTCAAGTCAATTCCCTCCCAAACCTAATCAAATCTGAAATTAATTCTCAGATTTTGATTTATATCTCATACACTCCACTAAACCTAATCTCTCCAAACCCTAGCCCCTCTCCCTTGCACCCGCCGGCCTCCCCCCTTTTTTTTTCCTTGTGGAATCCGCCGCCACCCTCTTCCCTCTTCTCCCACCACTCTCCTCCCTACTCTCTCCAGATGGGAACTTTGAAGCCAAGAGGAGAAGAAGACGATGCCCTTCCACCTCCTTTCCCCTTGGGGTACTCCTTCACCCTTGGCGAGAATGCATGCGGGAACCCGAATGGAACTTTGGGATTTTGTGCATGATGATCGAGATCAAGTCGACATTATCCAATCCCATTTTGACGTGGGCTTTGATTTCGACGACACCATTGAAGAATACTTCGACCGTATCACTACACCTTAGTGACGTGATCGACGAGGCAAAGGTCAAAGGGACGTTGGACATCATTGGACGACAATCATTCCCACCACTCCGGCCACCTATCCAAGGACGACGATCCTAGGTGCTTTCTTCCCGGATTGACCTCCGATT